CTTTTATTATTAGACAATCATTCTTCACACTTGGATATTGATGTCGTCGAAATGGCTAAAGAAAATAATGTGGTATTGCTGTCCTTCCCACCACACTGTTCGAATAAGCTCCAGCCTATGGATGTGGCGGTCTACGGACCATTCAAAAATTACTGTGCCAGTCAACAAGATGGTTGGCTTAGAAATAATCCAGGAAAGACAATGACTGTACATGATATACCATCAATAGTGAAAAATGCTTTACCCTTGGCATTAAATCCCAAGAACATTATTAACGGATTTAAGAAGACTGGTATTGCACCATTCAATAAAGATATTTTTCAAGATGATGACTTTTTGTCGGCTTTTGTTACTGATAGACCACTAGGCGAAACGATCAACTCGAACATCGAAAATGTTCCTGTTACGACACAGAACGGGGAGGCTTATGTTTCAGCTCTACCTCCTCCTCATTCTCCTATACAGAGTGCCATGGCATATCCCGAGAGCTCCATTCATGCTAACCCAGTTGCTGGCTGTAGTAAAGATATGATGCCTAACGAAAATAATTTTTCTCCCGAGACTGTTCGGCCTTATCAAAAAGCTGCTGCGAGAACAACCAAGATAAGAAGAAAAACTCGCAAATCAGCAATTTTAACTGATACACCAGAAAAAAATGCTTTGGCTCTGGAACAGAGTAAGAAGAAGGATAAACAATCCAAAAAAGAAAAGTCAGATAAAGGGGGAAAATCTACAGCAAAGAAGACAGAGATAGAACAGGAAAATACCAATAAGAGAAGGAAAACAAGTAACGAAAAAAGAATCCTTGCTGCAAAGAGGAAAGTATTACATGACACTGACGAAGAAAGTGCAGAAGAGGATGGATATTTTTGTCTGATGTGTTGTGATCCTTTTGATCCGAAGAAATCTGGTGAGGAGTGGGTACAGTGTAGAGCTTGCAAGAATTGGTCACATGTGAAATGTGTTAGAGGAAATATTGCATATTACGTATGTGTGAACTGCGAAAGTGATTTTTCAGACTACAGTGACTAAACTGCTTGGTATTTTTTTAAGTGTAGTTTATCTTCAATTACAAAATACGTTATGTTGATTAGTAGGCACGAAGGTTTTATTTAATACCTACAGAGGTTTATAATCTTGTAGTTGAAAAATTATCCATGTTTTGATTTAATGAAGAATACCCAATGTTAAGTTTGTAATTTTGTTTCTTTTTAGATGTTTTCGTTGTAATGAGGCAAAATACTGCTCTATAGATATAAGCATATTATTGAAATTAAGAAAAGTGACTAATTATGTTGAGTGTTCCTAATAAAAACTCTTATAATACGTTTGTTTCTTAGTGTAACAATTTGCCCCATGTAATGTAACAACCAGCCCCCTGCATGGGGTTGAAAGTTACACGGTTTTCTTTTCAGAATCCATTTATTTACGTCATTGCTATTTGTCTGCTATATAAAATATATTTTGGTAAAAGATCCTGAATAGTTACTTCATCAAACAAACCAATACTCAGGTGAAACAATTGAACCACTAAGAAGATATGACAGTTTGAAAAAAAAATGTCACAACCAGCCCCGGTCTCCCCTACATTCGGCAACTCTGCTTGACCAGGTGCTGTAATGGACCTTATTGAACTCCTTGTCATTTCTACACCACCAAGTAGTCCAGTACAGAAGTATCTTCACATCCGCTTGGAAAAATGTTACGTTTTGTTTTTTTGCATAAACTTTCTGACGAAAAAGTATATTGCCCGCTCATAATTGTGTCAAAAATTACTAAAACAATACTTTCAAGCAAATTCCAAAAAGCGTTTTTTTTTCGGTCTGGAATGCGAATTTAATATTTGGAATGATGCGGAATATGCTATATTCGACCCCGCAAATCAATACGATAAAACGAAAATTTTGATAATCCACATCTTTGTCTGGCCAATGTAACCACATGTATTTAAAATTCCTCTTAGTGCATACGTTTTGCCCACAACGGCGACCTTATTCAGTATATGACGCTTTTTGACAATATTTTAATTATCTGTCTTCCAGGTGACATTTCGTTTGTTTTTCTTATCATGTTCAGAATCCTGTATGTTACATTAACGAACATTTTGATGTTGCCAAACTGAATATTGTTTAAGCATTCAATAATAAAATACGAAAGTACTAATGTTTGGCGGTACTGTTATTGCATTGTTTTTGAATCGTTAGTCAAGTACCTATATTCTGGAGCTTTTACAACACTAAAATTTTCGTTTTTTCATGTTGTTTTTCGGGGTCGTAAAATGGCATATATCACACTTTTTCAAATAATGAATGTCTTGAAAACTTTTGAAGTAAGTTCATAGGAACGTATCTTGTTCAGAAAAGCTAAAAGCACTGTCCGGAGTTTTGAGGATTCCTTAAAAAAATTGTTTGGGCAACAAATTTTGGGCCTAGCAGCATGCAGATGCGTTATAGGGGGTCCTTTTTGGATAAGATTATGTAAAAAACTTTTACTTTTTTTTGGAATCTCCCTATTGTGAAATGAAGAGTGAAAACCGACGAGTACAAAAAATGTTTACAGTCGAAGAGGAGATTTCTTGCCCATTCTCGAAAGACTTTCTGGTTGAATGAAGGACAGGCGTTCTTTTAGGAGAGTCTTAGCAGCAGAGGCTTTTTATAAGTCCAAAGAATTTGAGTATAGTACACCGCCGTAATTTTGATATTCTGGTCGTGATGGTCAAGCAAGCGTACGAGAAACCAAAATCATTACCCGATATGGACGACGCTGATTGTCATTTTTATCATTATAAAAGCTAATGTTCCACCCAAACGCAAAAATGCAGTGAAATACGCTCCGACGCTATTTGTATAAATAACGATATACGCGGCAGCGGCAAAAATCCAAAACCCAAAAATGATTCATTTTCATTTCCGCCTAAAAAATGACAACATTAATTTGAATCCGAAATTAGCGCCTACAAATGGCGATGGTTTTTATTAATGGCGGCATATAATTCGCCACTAAAAGCATTTTTGTTAGCGTTGACAGTGTACAAGGCTTTTAAATTTTTAATCCGTGTTGCGGGATGCGGAACAAATGAATGAGCTCTCGACGACACTCGGCGGCGAGTTTTTTAAATTAGCAGATTTAATAAATGTAAAATACACCAGTTAAACAAACTGAAGGTTTGTGTTTACAAGCATAATTATGTTCGTTCACCTCTTTATTAGGTGTTTCCTGCATTATTCAAGTACTATTATATATTTAGGCATGCCTAGTACATATTTCAAGTCAATAACTCTAAAAACGTAAAAAACTAGTTTTCGCGGTAAGCTGTTTTTCAGACATGCTGAAGTTATTATGTTTGTTGTTGTTATGAACCTAACCTGTTTACAGCTGTCTTATAGTTATTTTCACGGTTTTTGGCAGTTATGTCACAATGCTATCTATTGTTATGGTCGCTGGAGGACGGGGGCGACGATCGACGGTGATCAGCCGTCACCCTAGTTTACGATTTACGAATATCTATATCTCTGTACTTTAAAAGAGTACTACTACTCTACAATCGCCGTGGCTACTCCCAGGTAGTGGCGTCAGGGAGTTCAGTTCTATATGGTGTTCCGTGTTTCCACAGTGTCAAATTGTCAACCTGTCGAATTGTCTGTAGAAATTGTAAACAATGAACGAAATTACAAAGTTCAGATTAAAACGATATATATTTCCTGAATGACAATGCCGTATTCTATGTAAAAGAATCCCACGAAAAGAGTTAACTTATATGTTACCTCCTAGGACTACAAGAAGTCGTACACTTGCATTCAGATATGCTAGGTCTAATATTATACAATTTACTGGGCAAAGTGACGTTGTACGAAAGTAGAGGGCCCCCCAGATATGTCGTGATCTACTGCTAGGTAAATATGCGCACTGAGATGTGAGGCGTGTACAAAGCGATCTTAACTAGTGGATAATCTTACAGCAAACAGATCTGGTACTCTGTATTTCAGTTGTCCAAGAAACCTGAAATCTTACATAAACCTTATAGTCTAGTCTGACCTGTAATCTCTGGAATAACTTGTTGGAGGTCCCTTGGTGGTATTAACCAGTCCTCATATGGTAGGATGTAGGAATGTAGCAGAAAGCCAGCCAAAGCGGTACAACGTTAAGGTTTCAAGCAGCAGGTTATCTCCTGAGGTTGCAGAATGGAGTTCTGGTCAAATCCTGGTCTCAGTTATGTACGAAGAATGCAGAAGAAAACGTACCGGAAGTAGAAGACGTTGAAGGGAAGAAGAAACAGAGAAAAAGCGAAAAGAAAAGAATAAGAGAGAAGGCCTGTGGACAAAAGTCAAGCATAAGCTACATGCACCACAAAGCAATTAATCAGGCACTACAAAAGTGCTTCAAGCATAAGCCAAAGGCAGCAATAAAATGGTAAACTACCTACCTGGGGTGTAGGGTGGCCTTTAAAGTGGAGGGAAATCTGCCAATCTTAGAGATCCCACAATACTAGTGGTGTGAACGCGTACAGCAATTGAAATTGTGAAGATTTTCAAGCTATTTTTCGGAACTAAATCCGCACTTGCGAAACAGACGCTCTGTTCTAATCCGAAAAATTGCAATGGCGGAACCGCGCGCTTGCCATTTGCCGCAAACTCCAAACCCCTACAAATGCTTGCCTTTTTTTTGAAGAAGCAAACGTGGCCATCCACACGTTTGCGGGTGCGTCAGTGAAAAGGCAACAAGCAAACATGACGGACGTCGAACTTGTGTTTGCCGTAGCATTTGGCTTAAGCTATTTTTATTATAAAACAAAAAAAAACAGTCAGATAAAACGAAAAGTACGACCAAGAAGGTGGTGGATGTTAAATATTCATATGAATCGTACCAGGTACTTGTTTTAATGAAATTGATATTTAGTTCCAAAAATAGTACCTATCACATCCAAAATTTAAGGGGCGTACATTATGAGTAGTAACATATGTGTTTTTAATTTAATAGGCATTAACTATATAGTGATTTACTAAATGCTGCGCTAAGGCGACTCCATGCGCCAGCTTTTTTTTGTTATCTTTGTAATCCGGATGGCCTATGTCCCAAATGCACGTTTCTCCTTGGTACCGCTCCAGGAAGTTCAAAATCTCTTCGTTCAACCAGTCACTCATTTTGTTGTTATCCAACTGGACCCAGATTATTGTTACAAAGCTTACACCCATTCGCCACCAGTGCATAAGCGAGACTGAGGCGCACAAACGTATGGATGTGTCACAAACGCTTGTGGCAAACTCCTTTTGATTTGCGACCAAAAAACCGACACCCGATCGGATCGGCTACAAGCGCTTGCAAACCTACGCAAACCAAGCCAAACGCTCTATCGGCACGTTTGCGTTTGTGCCGATTTGCCGCGATTTGGCAAGCGTGCGGTTCCGGTATAACACTATACGAAATAAATATAAAGATTTGTTGACTGTGCCATGTGCGGAGCCTTCCGTTACGGCAATTGCGCACCATACAATCCTTTTCACTCAGCAGTTTTCATTAACTTTCTGAAAACGTTTCTATAACTTTAGTAGAATCTGTCGACACTTAAGTAGTATCTTCAGTGATTGCTACGTTTTATAATGGAAGTCAAAAGTTGTGTCAAGTATATAAGTTTATAAAGGATTAAATTCAGTGCGAATCAAATTCTGTGAGAAAAAGTCAGTTACGAACATGTACAATAAAGAAACTATACGGATCAAGTCAGTCAAACCCATAAAATTAGTCCATGGACATTATTTTCCTTCCCCACCGGTAGTTACTGTCAATCTGACAACGTTGTCCCTTTTCATATCTCCACAGCAACGCTGCATCGAGCTATCGCTCATTTCGTGCATGGACCATGCATACGGTTTTTCGATGCCGTACACTTAGATAACACGGGTACGCGGATCGAAAACATTTCTCTATAATTAAAGACAAATGTACGAGGAAATCTATGATGCGTGAAATATGGCTAAGAGGTACATAGAATTACCGGGGTTAGGAGTGTATAAATATACAGAAGATCAAAACATTTTCATATCCCTTCCCCCACCCCCTACAACTTACAGTCCCGAATTTCAACCCCCACATTTTTTTGAAAATGACCAGGACCTTCCGAAACGTTAAGAAACGAAGTTTGGGCGTATTCGATTTTTTTTGGTTTTGGTTTTTTCTCCGCTGCCACTGAACCGATTTTCAAAAACTACGAAGCTGTTTCGTCCTTGACATAGTAGCAGCCCTCTGTAAAAATTTCATCAAACAGACCGGCGGACCGACAAACCGACGGAAATGGGTGACATAGCTTCCCGTTATAACATCCAAAAAACACAATATCTCATGTTCTAAATTTTTCGCGATTATAATACGTCATTGTACAGTGGCGTAGGAACTCACAAAGACAAACTCACATCGCACGTTCTATGTCAAGCAAGTTATCATACTGACAGTGAGAAGTATAAACGTTTACGAGAAAATGTTGAAGACAGTGAGACAAAACTGAAGTGCGCATGTCTGTAAGCTTACATCACCAGACGTCCATTCACACACACGGTCATGAATATATGAAAGTAATTCCTATAGTTTTACTGTGTCTGTTTTACTTACTGTTATCAAAAACCATGAAGCAGACCTATGTGATATCATTTCTGGCGTACAACCTTCATTTTCTTACAGCTCAATTCGACATTTATGCGTCGTGCAAACTGACAAGTAGCGGTGGTGGTAAGATGCTGCAACTATTCATTTTAGAAAGAGAGTCTAATGACGTTGGTAGCCAATACTTTCGAAAAAGGCCGCCGCCACAGAAGTGATCGGAACCATAGCATGTTTAATATTGTACAGCAGCGTAGCTCACAGTGGCATATAAGGAGTTCGCGGCTCACGCATGGAACAACGTCCCACAAAGTTATTAGAGACTTTTTAGTGCAACAAAGGTAATGAATCGTTGAGCCGTCGGGAAAATATGTTTTATGACCACTAAAGTCGACCAAGCAAACTTCTACTGAAAATCATGTTAGGCTACATGTTCCTTTCATTTTGACGCATAGCTTCTACTATAACTTCAGAATCTTGTATGGAAAAGTTTCTGTTACAGTTGTATTGCTTAAGACCGGTCCAGAAAGAAATATGCTTAGAATCACAGGGCCACAGAACGACAAGTGATCACATAACCACCAGAACCAACACAAACTTAATTCTTTTAGAACACTCGCAAAAAATATATTGCTCTTATATTTATATAAAATGTAAAACTCACATTTCCATTAAAATTCAACCTATATATCTTTATAACTTGAAATAATTTTAATAGAACTCTTCCAACACTACGAACTCAACTACAGCGCCGAATAAGTAAAAAATAACCTTACAAAATAGGATATTCCTCGTTCTCCGAGAGCAACGGAGCTGGCTACTGCGCAAACGCAACATAATGAAAATCATAAGGCAGTAGCAAAATAAAAGCACTAAAGACTCTTTAGTATCCCGAACAGAACAGTGTTGTTTCAATACTGTTCCTGTCAATATATGTGTAAGTAGCCAACCCCCAAAAATGCTGGTTTAAGCCTAAAACTTAATCAAGTGATCTGACAACTCATTATCCTGAGGTTCATCGAGTCGCTAATTACGAATCTATTATCAGTGTTACAATATTTTCAAAAGTGGTATTCAGCATATTGGAGTATGTGCCAGAACTTATAGGCCTGGACTGGTACAAGATTATTTTTCCCAAAAACGGTCCATTTTATATGTAGATGTCAAATTACATTTTTTTTAGATAAAAGATGAGCTTTTTCAAAAATGTTATAGCTGGGCCAAGGTTTAACGGGTTGTAAAAAAATTAGCAGTAATGCGTTGGGGTTAGTCCGTCCCTGGCAATCTAAATGAGATAATAACTGTTTTCCATCTGAGGGCCCAACTAGTTACGAAGCTGCAAAATCTCATTGCATTCTACAGTGTCGTTAAAAAGGTATTGAAGAGGCCCGTAACTCCATAAGGGATTATATTTTTGTATTCTACATCCATACGAGAGTATGGCAAGTTACTCTGTGACACCTTGTATACGAAACTATCGTAACCCCATCAGTTATGTCATTGCTAACAGTATCAACATATTTAAAGTTTTTGCAACAAGGTATCTCTTAATTTAACTTTGTCATTATTTTAATGTATCCACTTCAGACCACGTTGAGATACCTCATGACTGGAGCATTAAAAAGTTCTTCATATTAATATTTATAGTTTATTTCATTTCCACCATTCGTTATTATTTTATGGTTATATATGCGCGCCGCTGAATTTTATTTGGCAAAGTTTAAATGTAATGAAGACAATATTTTATGGAAAATAAAGCTTATTTCAGCTATAAATTCTACATAAACTCGTATGTTTCGCATAGTGAAATTGTAATATATGAGTCAAAACGCGCAAACAGCTGTGAACTTTTTACATAAACGGTACTTGGTTTTATCATTTACAGTTGTGCTGGGCGTCCCTGCCAACGATGGTGATCACTCCTCTGGACTGTAACCCAATTTGATTTAGCATCCTTGAAGGAAAGATCTAATTCATGTTCTCCAACACTACTGTCGAACCATAAGTTTTTTACTTCCAGATTGAATGACATGTGGATCACGATATTACTCATTTCCATCGGTCTGACTGTCCGTACGGTAATCCTTGGTCCGTCTCAACATGGGAAGTACCGCTCGGACTTTGACCAAAATTTCAAAAAGGGTTACTACTATTCCAATGACGAAAGTTACTTTGCGGGCTTTGAAAATCGATCTAGTGGCGATAAAGGAAAAAGATAAGAATGAAAATCACTCACACTGCGTTTCTTGACGTTTCGAAGGATCATTTAAAAAAAAAATGCAGGGGCTTGAAACTTGGACGTCAGGGGTTGTAGGAGGTGGAGAAGCGTATAAGTCAACTTTTAATGCTGACAATTTATACATTTCCAACCCTGGTGATTCTGCTCACCTATTAGCCATATTTCATACAACATAGATTTACCACACACATTTGCCCTGTCGCTCAACGAGCGTATGTCTGTATGGTTCGAATAATGAGGGATAACTAAATGATGATGGGTGCATTCGAGTATGCAACGCAGTACTGGGTTGCCATGTTGATGGGTGGTCGGCGTCGGCAAAGCGGTAGGCTAGATCGCAATATTGTCAAATAGGTGGGGTAGGGATGATGGACGAACTCGATGAGGTTGTTTGATTGATATGATCCAACTAATTGTTTTGTTATACATGTTCGTAGCCAACCTTTTTCTAAGAGGGACTAACTTGTGCTAAGTATTATAATGAATGATTTGATGACTGCATTGCATAGGAAGTGTAGGGTCACCCACTGGACATGAAAAAAAGTGACTTGATAAACCAGACATTAACCTCTTCATGATTGCTTTAATTACACTGGTGAACAAAATTAAAATGTTTTTTTGTGGCATGGACAAGACAAGGTGGTTATTATATAAAACGTACCCAAAAAGCCGGAAATAGCAATTTCTTCTATCACCCACGGCTTTCTTACAATAAGGCATTTTATTTGCTGCTTATACTCGTAAAGTATAAGGATATGTGTGTAAGAGTACTAATAAACAGTCGAATAAACATTAATCTCAGAATGTTGTTACCGATGTTTTACGGCAATATGTTGCTCCTGAAGTATCTCTTAACAATGTCCAGCAATAATCAGCAAGCAAATTGACACTACATTTGCCTTGATACCATTTTTCCATAGCAGAAATGTCTTATTGAAACCGTTCATCATGCTCATCACTTACCGCACCTAAATTTTCCGGAAAAAAATCGAGATGAGGATCCAAAAAATTAATTTTTAGAGACATCTTGCATCCCATTCCTTTAGAAGCATTAATTAGTTCACTCTCAATATCTTTATAATTGTCCGCCTTCACATTGCCTAAAAAATTTGCAGTAACTGATTTAAAAGCATTTCAAGCTCGTAATTCAGTTTCATTTAGAGTACTGTCGAATACATCATCCTTGATGATTTTCCGTATTTGTGGACCCACAAATATGCCCTCTTTAATTTTTGCCTCACTAAGTCTCGGAAATGTTGATTTTAAATGCAGAAACCCTCTTCCATTTCGATCCATAGCTTTCACAAAATG